GGATGCATCTGCGCTAGCCACTGAGAACGATTTTGAACCATGTCACCAATTGTTTCCAAACATTGATTTTTACCGTCCCGAGGACCCCAGCCTGGAAGTCTACACCTTCCTACGTGGCTTAGACCAACTGTTGTGGATTTCATTGACTGGTGAGGCCAAGTTTTTGTTTGACCGCCGCTAGCTTTTTTCCAGCCTGACCCTATATCCGCTAACATTGCTCGTCGAGGGAGGCGATGGCTTGGCATACGTAACACATGTCCTAACCATCTCAGTCTTTGTAGCTTCACGACTTCGTCGATTGATTTCCCCTGTTTACCTAGAACTCTACGCCTAACCTCCATGTTGCTCACCTTATTATGCCACTTTACACGGGAAATAGAGCGCAGGCATCTATGATCAAAGACAGCTAGTCTTTTCATGTCTTCCACTCTCAGTGGCCAGGTCACACAGACAGCTATGAAGGAGGACGGAGCGGACTGATGAGCAGTACACCCGCCCTTTGGTCGATAGTCGAACATCTCGTCTACGCCAGAGTCGGCGTAAACTGGCAAATGCGAAACGAGCCCCCTGTATTCGTGCTGGATATTCTTGTGGATACAGAGCATAAGATTAGTGTCAACGAGGCAGCTTTCAAAGTCATCTCTACAGCATACCAACAAATCTTAACTTCGCCTTAAGAGTTCGTTTACTAAATATTTTGCTCAGACTGACTGTTGGAATCCACATTAAGAAGCCTAATTAGTGTGTAGAAAAGAATTTAGTTCAGACATTATACCTACCTTGGCCATCTAGGTTTGAATGATCCTCAATTTTTGTGGAATTTTCCTAATTTTAGTTGATATTCTATTTGCTACTATAACCTTATTATTATTATTTAAGCATCTTTAATGAACTGTAATTGCATTGATCATACTTTACAAATCGATATTATTTAAAAAACACTAATATTGTTATTAACTACTAATCTAGAATATTCTATGTATATAAACATATATATATATATATATATATATATATATATATATATGTAGAGCCAGAAGAGGAAATTATCGGAAGGGGGATATTTTTTGCTTACTTATTTTCTGTTTTATGTTAAAATTGTTCCTGTAGATATGATTAACAATGACTTTAGACTGCAAGCAGCTGATGAGAAGCTAACGAAATAAACAACGGATGATACCATTATATATATATATATATATATATATATATATATATATATATATATATATATATATATATATATATGATCCCAATGACCAGCTTTATCTCGACATATGTACTCCATGGGTGGATGCGTCAGTATCACAAAGATTAGGAATGGCTAATTATTTTGTTGTTGGTCATTAACAGTAGAAATCCACAGGACGCCTGCCTCTTCTTATATGGAGCTCATTATCTGGATGGTGAATGGTTTTCTCACTCACCTAGACTCGAACCAAAAACCCATTGTTTCAAACACTAAAGCGTTAACAAAGACTGAACATTTTGTTTCCACTACAATTTGAAATAACATTATGGAGATACATCCGCGTTTAAGAAAACCACGAGAAAGTATCAGTTACTTATAGCTACGAAAGGATAGCGCTTTATAAACTACTTGACAATACTAGGCGAGTCCACAAACACCATTATTCGTTTAAAAGAATTACAAAACTATAGACTACAACTGGAAACTTAGTTTTAGTTTAGTTATTATTTAATTATCAAGGTACTGGGATATAAGCCATACTTATTGTATGTAGGCAAATGATACTGTCTAGTTTCCTAGGCAGAGGTAGATGAAGCGGGACTCGAACCTTTGACCTATTAACTGAAATTCAAGTGTTTAAGCCAATAAAACACATCTTTGAAACAACTGAAACGTATTTTTTGATGTAGAACTAACTCTCTGTAAATGATTAATTCATTTATTGGGGTCTTAATTCAAAAACACCAACTGTTTTGATTTTAACCTTCAAAAAGTCATATTTAGTAAAAACCAATAGTTCTCGACTAAAACATTGAGTAATTTTGTAGCTTAAACCTGTCTCATCTACACTATCGTTGATTCATACAGTTTTATTTCATCAGAGAGAAAACTATTCATGACTGAGTCATATCATTTCATTCATTTATTCATTCCTGAATTGGAAGTTATTTGCTTCCTTGAACAGACAGATAAATCCTCGACATTACTGCTTGTATAGCTTGTAAGGAGAGACGACCGTCTACTCAAATGGCTACCTATACAGAAGAATCAAAAATCCCCAGGTATTCGGCAACAAAAATATCATTTTTATTACGGATTTCATTGGGATATAGTTGTAGAATACTTGTCAACTTAGGTTAACTACAGTTTATCATAATGAACTGTAAGGTGAATATTACTACCTCTGTCTGACTGCGATATTCGCTCGCAAGTCATTTTATCAGTTGATTATTATTATTATTACTAATTCCTTCACTTTCCTAGTCTGTCTGTCTGTTTTCGACATAGAACTGCTTTGCACGGATGTGCAGCACTTCAATTCGCCACACTCCCTCCTTGTAGCACACAAAGCAAGAGAAAGAAGTAGAAGAAATGCATAATGGAGACAGTAAACAGGTGTGAGACAAAGGAATAGTAATGACGAAGAACAATATAGTTTTGTTGGGCATTATAAGTCACAAAGAGTGGATGCATCTGCCCTAGCCATCACTGAGAAGGATTTTGAGCCATATCAGCAGCAGTTGTTTCGAGCCTTTGGTGTTTACTGTCCTAAGGACCCCAACCAGTCAGGAAGTCTACACCTTCCTACGTGGCTGGCTTAAACTAACTGTTGTGGATTTCATTGACTGGTGCCATGTTTTGGTTTGACCACCGCTAACTAGCTCTTTTCCAGCCTGATCCATCCTTTGTCAGCTAACATTGCCCATTGTCCAGGAAGGCGATGGCCAGGCTAGACATCCGTAACACATGTCCTAACCATCTCAGTCGGCGCAATTTCACAGCCTCATCGATTGATTTCCTCTCCTTAGCTAGAGCTCGACGCTTAACCTCAATATTGCTCACCTTATTGTACCACTTCACACGGGAGATAGGACGCAAGCACCTATGATCAAAGACAGTTAGCTAGGCTTTTCATGTCTTCCACTCTCAGTGGCAATGTTCTGCTCACACCCATAAAGGAGGACGGAGCAGACGTTCCTAGTGGAACATAGGGCGCCTTTAAGCTAGAGCTTTGAAGTTTAGGTAGCAGCGGCACTTACTTTTACACAATGAGATTGCTAGCCGCATGCTCAGTCTTCCCTCTTTACCAGTCCTATTAATAGCTTAGTGTGGAAAGTGAGTGCGTCGGCTGCGGATCGAACCTCCGAACCAAATGCGTGGTTGACGAGCATTCTACTGCCTTGCCACCGACGCATTTTGTTAGTTAAAACAACTTTTTTATTATTTTTGTCATCACTCATTCGCCACTACTTTCTTAATATTTCCACATTCTTTATTCGGTTAATAACTATTTTCGTTGTCATGACGATGTATTTGAACTCTAAGCCATTCAACTTAAGCTGTCAACTTATTGTCTTTACTTCATCGATTATATCCTGCCTTTAAATAGCCACTACAGTTAGCACACTGTAATTTGTTTGTGACATGATTCTGCTCATATTACATGTCATACTTAAGAGAGTGTGTGTGTAAGAGAGAGAGAGAGGGAGACAAGGAGGGGAGCTTACAGAAATTTAATGAATACACTGAATGCTCTTTCACTTACATTTGTTGCTTTTTTAAAACATCTTTGTGCTTAGTGATGCTTTAGTCATGAGACGGTATCACTGGGTATTATACAATAAAACCTGACTCAATAGCTATAGAAAAGTATAAATACACATGGTTATTGATGTATTTAAATCATGTACTGCGACTAATCAATAGCTTTCCTAAAGGAATTTATGTGACCTGCTTTTTAATTTAAAAAGACTTTATCATAAATAAAATCGTAAGACCTATTAGAAAAATTACGTTCTTTGCTGAAATATCTGACCAAGCAGACTTGAAATACACCAGGGGTATGTGCAGGAACGCTCCGCACCAGCAACATAAAACCATTAGGAATACAAATGTATGCTATTAATAAATACGGGACCAGGGTGAATTTCCTTAACTTACCGTGAATGGATACTTTAATAAAACTATGAAAATTAAACAGCGAAAATTACTCAAAGATTACTAGGATACTGAAGTAATAATTCCGATTAGCTTTTCTGACTCAAATAAACCAAAATTAACGGAGAGCGCAGATGACGATAAACCAGCCTGTTACACGTTTTATCGATAAATGACATGAACAGACTGCTACAAGTTAACAAATAAAAATGATGGAATTTGGAAACCTTTTCTTTACCAGTCGTATCTGTCATTTGATTGTCTTAATAGGATGCAGGAATGTAGACTCAAACTAGTCATCGAGAATAAAGCTCAAATATGTCTCACCTCCATTCAACCAGCATATCGAAGACACTGGTGGAGAAGTTGAGCTTGATGATTCCCAAGTAGTGGTTTGTATTGTGGGTAGATTCATGAGGGTTACACCAAAAAGGGGGCCCAATAACTTTCAGAATCTTATAAAAATCAATAAAAACTTTTGCCGAAAATTGTAGACGGATGGTTAAAGTTCTAAAAACTGATAACATAACCGCTGTGGAATAAATGTGAAAGCCTTCATTCTTAGTAAGGTCTAAATACGCTACTTAAATTTTTTAGGCCACTAAGGTATTAAAGCTAAAAATCAAATATATGGAGATTTAAAAGTAACGATGTTCATGGGCAGGAAAATGAAACTTAGTGAAGATCCTAAATGGGTAAACTATATCTGATGCTGAAAAACAGGTTGATTAGGTTTTTAAAATTTGGATACGTCAATCTTAGACAAAGCTGTTTTTTGAGCTGTGTTAAATGTATAACATCCCCATAGTAAATATGGCCAGAAACATCTTTAAGAGAAATTGAAAATAAAAATTAAAAGAAATTAACTCACTCGGACAACATAACACTTTGCAGCATTATTTCTACATGTTAAGTTGGCTAATGTTCCGAGAATGCACCGGAAAACGGAGCAATCATCTCGACTATTGAAAGAATAATGCTTCACGCAACTTTCACCATAAGTACTGGATTTCAGTAGGGAAATTAGTTGCCTCACAATATTGACAGATACATCTGAAGTAATTTTATCCACAGCAATATCCGAAAGGTTCCTCATCGTCCACAGTACATTTGCAATTACACGTGATGACTGGCATTCTAAACAATGCGAGAAGAAACATAGGAAAGGGTCTTGGGCTATTATTTCACACTTAACTGGAATCCAAGCAGACAGAACCCGAAGAAGTCTAGTAGCTGTCCACAAAACCTTTTCATAAGTTGAGACTGTGATCAGTGTTAGAAGAGAAGATAATCCTCCTTGTTCCTTGAAAGATCGTTTAGTACTTTCATGTCCATATGCCAATATATACAAACAGTCACAAAGAACTGCTGAAAATTTTGGGTTGATACTTTTCTGTGCGTCTATGGATGACTTTCGCAAGCTTGACATATCCAGCCCACTGTGCTCCACGGAATAATTTAGAAGATTAATTAGGCGGTTTGAAATGCATGTCCGATGAATAAAACCTTTGGCTGACTCATGACTTAGCAGCACATTGTGTAAGGCGGTGACACAAAAATACAACACTGATTCAAACGGAAAAAGGAGTAGTCCATTTATAATATCAAGTCCTCCTTTATGCAGTATCATATTTATTCCATCTGGACATTGTGAAAAGTAGTTTATTATTCCACTCATACAATGAATAACATCCACATACTTGCTGGAGGAAGGACAAAACACGGGAATTTTTATATTTAACAGAATATCCGGACATATTTGACTGATGAAAGGTGCATATCCATTTTTGCACAAGTGGAACAAATACGTAGATGCGTTAAGGACGATATCAATATCTTTATCGGAGAGACAGTGAATGGCTTGAATTACAGTAAAGGAATGTGCTTGATAAAAAGGAGTAAGGTCGAAGTATGCGTCTTCTGTATCATCTGAATGTTCAGGATCCCAAGCTGACCATGTGCTACATGATGGGGGTGTTGTTAAACTAACTCCAGAATCTGAATTATACAGGGATGATGATTCACTACCACTACTACTGAAATCTGCATCAAAATCCATTACTAACTCGCCTTCTGAAGAGAGGGCCATATTTTGAAATGGATTCATTAAAGTTCGACATGGATTAACACGATGAACTCAGAACTTATATTGAATGTCGGCGAAGGTCATGTAATTTAAATCAGAGTGGTTAAACACAGCCTTACAAGACGTATTCTTAAATGTTATTTAACGATTATCATGTATTTTTTAAACCATTCTGAGTTTAAATGATTTTAATTTATCTTCTTCTTGGCAAAAACAGTTCTGTATCCTTGGCAGATTCCTAGATGTTCCCTACTTAAACAATTTTACTGAGATTTCGAAGGCTCTAGAATGTTTTGCAGTTTTGAAAAAGCGTCTGCAGATTCTGGTGAAAATGCGAATATGCTCTGATTAGCGTTGTCTTTTTTGTTTGGGGAAGAATAATAATATAACTAGAGAAACAGTTTCAACTCGACATGCAAATATTTCTTGCGGTAAATAATTCCCCAAAATTATTGACCACAGCAATCACTCATTGGATGCTGACCACCACTGTTTAAGTCGACTTGTTTAGCTGAAGGCTTCCGGTCAAGCATCCCCGCCATTTGGTACCCCGTCGTGTCACGTGCACGATCACTAGCTAGCTAAGCGTTCGTCTGACGGCTTGTTTTGGTCCCGAAATATATCACGAAGTTTGGACGATCAATTATTGGCTTTTGCTTTGTTGTTGGTACGCGAGAATAAAAAATTAGAGGCGGTGTAAGATAATTCCGTCAACCCCTAAACTGGTGAGCCCAACCGCGAACTTCATCCACGATAAATCCGCAGATAACCCCGGTGAGTTCGTTCCATTTTGTATTTGTTCTTGTACCATATATTATTCGACATAATTTTCGTCATGAGTGATCTTAGTCCCAAGGTCATCCGTATCCGCTCAACTCCTAAAACCATTCAGCTCGTACCATACTGGCCAGATAATGCTGAAACGTGGTTTCTGCTAGCTGAAGCAGATTTTTGTGAGCATGGGATAACCGATCAACGTTCACAGTTACTTGCAGTTATTCACGCCCTACCGCGGGAATTCAGCAAGTACGTAACATCACAGATGTTGAGTCCCGAGGTAAGTAACTCGTACGAGTTGCTCAAAGCATCCCTCCTCAGGAGAAACGTTCTCACGGACCGACAACGTCTAGATGAATTATTTCGTAACATCGAGTTAGGAGATCAGTCAGCCGTGAGCATGCTGACAAGAATGAAGGAAGTCGTCGGCCAAAGTCAGTTCGACGAAGGACTGTTTAGAGAACTCTTCTTAACCAAGCTGCCACAGTCTGTACAGACCGTACTTGTGACACTTCAGGGTACTGTAATAGAGGACTTAGCTATTACTGCAGATAGGATTCTAGAAATAACTAAACGGTCAGTTCCCGAAATATGCTCGATGACTAAGCAGACTTCGAGTAAGGATCCTGCAATGATAGAGTTATGCAACTCCATCCAGCAGATGTTTAGGTCAAACATGCATTCTAAATCCTCCGACCGTCGTCCTAAATCTCCTCAACGCAGGAACTCACGTGGTCGATCTAAGTCCAAACCACGTTCACTGAAAAACCCTGACTGGTGCTGGTACCACAACACCTATGGCCAAGAAGCGAAGTGTTGCCGTAAGCCTTGTAACTTCGGAAATGTCTCAAAGTCTGTGGGAAACTATCCCGCCGGCACGCGTTAGCGGCAACCGTCGCCGGTGGCACTAGCCGCCTACTTTACATCCATGATGTGATAAGCCAGACTCGATACTTAGTCGACACAGGCGCCGAAGTCAGCGTCCTTCCTGCTACAGCAGCAGATCGACAGAAGGAACCTACCTTCAACTTACAGGCTGCAAATGGAAAACCAATCGCAACCTTTGGTAGGAAATACGTCTATCTGAACGTAGGTTTACGCAAACCTATTCGATGGATTTTCCTTCTCGCTGACGTTACAATGCCCATCATTGGCACGGACCTACTTAATCATCATGATTTACTCGTAGACGTCCGCCGAAAACGACTGATTGACAATACTACTAGTCTGTCTATCAAAGGCATCAGCTACATAGGCCCTAGTTTGTCACCCGTTAAGATAAAGGCAATTCTTGATCCAACTTTTCAACCTATGTTGACAAGTATCCGGAACTTAATTGCCCGTCGAACGACCTACCGTGCATAACCAGCAATGTTATGCACCACATCATTACCACAGGACAACCTGTGACATCTAAAGCACGACGATTAGCTCCTGACAAACTGAGAATCGCCAGGAATGAATTTGACCATATGCTTACCCTTGGCATCATTCGACCTTCGAATAGCCCATGGGCATCCCCACTTCATATGGTTCCGAAAAAGGATAGCAATGATTGGCGACCCACCGGTGATTACCGGCGAGTGAATGCCAAAACAACCCCTGATTGCTACCCGTTGCCTCATATACACGACTTGACGGCAACCTTATCCGGCGCGACTATATTCTCCAAAATCGACTTGGTTAAAGCGTATAACCAAATCCCGATGGCAACAGAAGATATCCCGAAAACGGCTATCATTACGCCTTTCGGACTTTTTGAATTTCTACGTATGCCATTCGGTCTCCGGAATGCAGCCCAAACATTCCAACGCTTCATTGACGAAGTATTTCGCGGTCTCGACTTTGTATACGCATACTTAGACGACTGCCTCATTGCCAGTCCAGACAAGGAAACTCACCTTAGGCACTTGGACTTGGCATTTGAAAGGTTACGCCAACATGGTGTTACCATTAATATTCAAAAGTGTCAAATCGGTGTTGACTCACTCGACTTCCTGGGTCACACTATTGACTGCAAGGGCATTCGCCCACTGGCTACTAAGGTCGAGGCTATACTGAAACCGGCTTACTTGGAGGGTAATCCTATTAGCATAGAGCTCAACGTACCCCAAAATCCACAAGTAACAGAAGATCGTTTAGACATCGATGAAGTCACTAGCACAGCGACAGCTACCGAACCTTCTATCGAGCCTCCCAAGAAAACCCGTTCTGGACGCACCGTAAGGTTCCCAGAATATCTGCACACTTATTTGACTTAACGAAGTCGTGTGATTCACGCAACTCATTCGTTTGTGGTACTGACTATTTTTTTTGACGTATCAATTTTTTTATATACAGTACCACCGAACACAAAATTTTTTTTCAACAGTTCATGTAACATACACAAAAAAATTAATTAGATGTATTTTTTTTCGATGTTCTGAACTTAGCATTATTTTACTGTATAGTAAATGCACATCATTTTTTTTAACAAAAAAGCTGATTTGGTACATTTTCCTCGACATGGTTCTTAGCGTTCTTGTTTTCTTTTCCAGGTGCGACGGGCACTGGACAGGAAACAAACGAAGCACGGAATCCAAACACAACAACAAGGAAGCTATGTACAAACACCCTATTAGCATAGGCAGACAAACCAGTAGGCATACGACCAAGCCGCTCGGAAGATTTTTTTCACCCGAAAGGGAACCATCGAGTTTTTTTACTTCCGGCTGGTTCTGTCTTAGGGTCCTCACGACCCCACTAGGGGGGAGTGAGCTGTAGCGGTAAATAATTCCCCAAAATTATTGACCACAGCAATCACTCATTGGATGCTGACCACCACTGTTTAAGTCGACTTGTTTAGCTGAAGGCTTCCGGTCAAGCATCCCCGCCATTTGGTACCCCGTCGTGTAACGTGCACGATCACTAGCTAGCTAAGCGTTCGTCTGACGGCTTGTTTTGGTCCCGAAGTATATCACGAAGTTTGGACGATCAATTATTGGTTTTTGCTTTGTTGTTGGTACGCGAGAACTAAAAAATTAGAGGCGGTGTAAGATAATTCCGTCAAAACCCCCTAAATATTAGAAGCGAGGATTAAGGACGTTTCTATATTTGCAACCAGATACTGATACCAAAAAACGGTTGTATATCTTCGGTAGACATTAACGCAGGCACTCCAAACGTTGTCCTGTTATGGTTCATTTGATTTTAGTTGGCGAATTGACATTTGTGGTTTGTTCTGCGATCCCCTTATTCCTGGGATTGTCAGTTGATATCATAAAATGTATTCCGATAGACCTTTTAAAAATTCGTTTGGGCTGTGGGCAGATTTAAAGCAAAGAATATAATGATAAATTAAATGGGAAGGAATAAAATTAAGGGAAGTGAAGAGCGGGGAAATGCTGCAGATTAATATAGGATATGTTGATGGTTATAATGCGATTATTGTCCCATTATCTGTGTCAATGGAGTTGAAGATTGAACGATCAATTCTTGGTTGTTTGCTCAAAATCAACTTCCCCAATTTTCGCGGAGGCATCAATACGACAGTCATCGTCTCATCGGTCGCTGTTCAGAAAGAAGAGTGAAACATCGTCAGAAGTAATACAATGATTTATTATTGTAATATTTGTTTTCAGACCTTAGTTCAGTTATTCTTTTTATATGTTGGTGTAACAATAAAGAAATAACAAGCGGCCAATCGGTGTTTTGGTTTTTTCGTCCGTTATTACTAAGCGTTTCTGAAAACTCAAAGGAACAGCGTGGGCCCGAGCGTAGCGAGAGCTGGGCATTAACGGTTTATGAGACGTGATTGACAATCTGAGTTATCTTTTCACTAGATTATTGATAACTGAGAAGTTAATTTATGCTACTTTCAGTCGTATTGACTTATTTGGTGGCGGATACACCAGCTGTGACTCATTTTTATCAAAGAAACATTCTAGATGACACAATATTCGGTCGCCTCATTGTTCTTGTCGAGGATTCTGTTGATCATATTTAATAAGTTTGCATTTTTCGAATAACTTTAAAAGTTGTCCATTTTAAGTTTGATTATCAGGTTACTCAAAACTTAAGGCCCCATGCTAGGTCTGAAAGAGAATTCTCTGACACGAGGCGGTCACCACATATGCCTTAAACTAGGAAACAGACACGCCCGAACGCTACCCTAGCTGTCGGGATACATAACATGACAGTAAACAAAGACTTATTGGATAGACACTGTAGGGTAAACATTTTTAACATCCCGAGAGGAACTTGCGAACTGCATCTTGCATGCGTTATAGGTGCAACCTGACTCTCGAGGGTCACGCGGAATTCAGGAATTTGGT